GCAAAAGCATACGAACACCTTGACGAACGCGAAGATGAACTCACCTCCGTCTCGGGATTAGGCACGCACGCAAAATCGACACCGTCTTCTACCTCGAAACTTTCAGCACGAGCAGCCGAAGCCCGACGAAAAGGGAAGCTTGCACAACTGAAAACCAAACAAATAGAAGATGAATCGATGCGGCGAAAGGAACTTGAGCGCATCGAAAGAGAACGACTTGCTAAGTTCGAACAAGCCAAACTCGAGCACGATCGTCTTGCCAGAGAAGAAACCGAGAGGCGTCGCATACAAGAATCGAGAGATCATGCGGCACAAGCCGAACTTGAGGCTAGATTGATCGAGGCTGAGGCTGATCGAGGCTGAGGCTGAAACAGACGGTTCTGGTAGTTCAGACGATTTGAAGAAAAGACTTTGCGATTTTAGCAAGGATTATCGAACTCCTGCTGAGACCGGAAATAAGATACGAGAACTCGGAAATAAGCTGCCGGAAGTTGGAAATACCCCCCAATCCAAAGGTGATAAACGATAATAAAAACACTAACGAATTAAGCGAACTTTTTCGAGAAGATCCAGAGGAAAAGGCAAAATCTACTGCTTCATGGATTGCCAATCTACCATCGACGACGAACGAGAATCGACGTACCGAACCAATGACCGCACCTATATCATACCACAAATCTATACCAAAACTTACGCTTACGAAGTTCGACGGTGATCCTCTAAAGTGGACAGATTGGCTCGGTATGTTCGAAGCAATCATTCACCGGTCGGAGATGTCACCCTTCGAGAAAATGACCCACCTTCAACAGAACGTTGTCGGAAAAGCGAAATCCGTAATCGCAGGCTTTCGCTACAACGGGAACCTTTATTACCGAGCGTTGAAGTGTTTGGAAAATCGCTTTGGAAAACCTCATATCGTAGTCCAAGCCCATCTCGATAAGCTTTCGAAAGTGGCACCAGTTGCGGAGGACGCCGCCGGTAGTGTTTCAGCATTCTCCACCGTAATTAACAATATTGTTTGGACATTCCAGGACCTGGGCTACCTAGATGACTTGAAAGCTGCGAGCAACGTCAAGTCTGCCATTGAGAAACTACCATCACCCATGATTTTGAAATGGAACGAACATTTAATACGAAATAAGATCATACGCCCCACGCTGATCACCCTCGGAGATTGGTTGCAGGAACAATCCGAAGCCTACGAACTATTGCCCACGAAGCCAAAACCAAAGTTTGCTGGAAAAGCCGGAGTGGATAGACAACGACGAAGACGAGACGACCCCCCTGCTAACTCGTACGCCACCCACGAAGGTGAACGGCCAGCAACGCCTTGCTTGTTTGAAGACGGCAATCATCCAGTTTCTTCATGCCCGAAGTTCGCAGCATTTACCCCCGACGAACGAGCCGAAGCTGTCAAAGAGAAGAACCTATGCTTTCGTTGCCTGAAAGGTGGTCATCGTATACGCGAGTGTCGATCGCAGAAATCTTGTGGTGTCGACGGCTGTCAAAAGAAACATCACGAACTAGTCCACCTAGCAAAACAAGTCTTCGGAAAGGGAGACGCCAACCAACATGTTAAATCTTCGCATTCCCAGCGCCAATCGCAAGTTCTCCTTCAAGTTGTCCCTGTAACGCTTCACGGGCCGGCCAAGACCGTGAGAACTTATGCAATGTTAGATTTAGGGAGCACTTGTTCTCTAATACAAAACGATATTGCTAATGAACTTGGTTTGGATGGTCCCACGGAGAAAATGATGTTAAACGGCATTCAACATCGCAGTTCCATCTTTTCCAAGAAAGTCAACTTTGACATCAGCTCCTCGCAGAATCCCAATCAAAGATGGACGGTTGACCAAGCGAGAACCGTCGAGAGACTGAACTTACCGAAGGTGAAAGTTGATATGCCTAAAGAAAAGACAAGATGGCCACATCTTGTTGATCTTCCCCTGCCACCCATCGATGGGAATCGTGTTACAGTTCTCCTTGGAGCTGACGTGTTCGACCTCATCGTCCCTCTGGAGGTACGCACCGGTCCCAAAGGCGCTCCTCGAGCAGTACGGACGGCCCTCGGTTGGACAGCGACATCGCACTTACCTGACCACAGACTAGAAGGGTCAGACCATACAATGAAGGTTCACGTGACAACGCCTGACGAGGACCTTCGACTCCAAGTCCAAAAATGGTGGAAAACGGAGTCGTTTGGCTGCAAATACGCCGAGGAATTGCCCAGAACAATCGAGGACAAACGAGCCTTGGAAATCCTTGAGTCAACAACGAAGAAGGTTGATGGCCGTTATCAATCGGGTCTACTGTGGAAGGAAGTGAACGCAACGTTGCCCAACAACCGTGTGGTAGCCGAGAAACAGCTGCTCGCCCTGGAAAAAAGACTGGACAAAGATAAACACCTCGCTCTCGCTTATCAAGGAACAATTGATAATGACTTAGAGAAAGGTTATGCAAAGAAACTCACACCGGAAGAAGCAGCTGCCCCTGTCAAACAGCAGTGGTTCCTTCCTCACCACCCAGTCCTCAACCCAAACAAACCAGGCAAAGTACGAAGAGTCTTCAACACCGCTTCCCCCTTCAGAGGTGTATCTCTGAACGACCATCTGCTGACCGGACCCGATCTGTTAAATTCCCTCGTCGGGGTGCTGATGCGTTTCCGCGAGGAATGAGTCGCTTTGTCTGCAGATATAGAATCGATGTTCTCCCAAGTTGCCGTCCCCGAAGAAGATCAAACCGTTCTCCGTTTCCTGTGGAGAAAAGACCGTAGTTTGCAGCCGGATGTCTATCAGTTTCGTCATCACATATTCGGAGCGAAGTCATCGCCGACTTCTGCGAACTATGTATTGCGCCAAACAGCAAAGGATAGCTCTGACGAATTTCCTGCAGCTGCAGAAACGGTCCAGAGAAACTTCTACATGGACGATCTCTTCAAGTCCGAAGAGGACGAGAACACAGCAGTACAGACCCACGAGAACCTTACCGAGTTGCTGTCAAGGGGCGGCTTCCGCCTAACGAAATGGTGCAGCAGCTCACGTGACGTGCTGGCCCGTATACCAGAAAGTGAACTCTCTCCTTCTTTAAAAGGACTCGACCTTAACGACGAACTCCCCGTCGAACGTGCACTCGGGGTAGCCTGGAACACAGAATTGGACTCTTTCGTTTTCAAGAACCCAACCCGAAAATCGGCGACCACACAGAGACAGGTTCTTAGTTTAATCGCCACCATCTATGATCCCCTCGGAATGATCGCACCATACACCCTCAGGTCGAAAATATTCCTCCAGAGTCTATGGTGTGCCAAAAGAGGTTGGGACGAAGAAATCAGTCAGGACGAACTAGCCCCGTTTAAAGAATGGCTAGACGAATTACCAGACTTGGCCGCGTTCGAACACCCGAGATTCTATCGAGCGATGCCCAGCAGCCCAACCACCATTCAAGTCCACGTCTTCGGCGACGCCTCGGTTGAGGCCTTCTGTGCAGTGGCCTACTTCAGGTTCCTGTATCAAGATGGATCTATCCAGTGTCGCTTCGTGATGGGGAAAACCAGAGTTGCACCCCTCCGACAACTGAGCATTCCAAAGCTCGAACTACAAGCTGCCGTGATGTGTGTCCGCCTGTTGGAGACAGTTAAGAGAGAGCATACGTACGACTTTGAATCCTGCCACCTGTGGAGTGATAGCAGCACAGTCCTTCAATGGATTCGAAGCGCAAGTCGTCGTCATCCAACATTCATCGCTAATCGCATATCCGAGATCCAGGATTCTACCGACCCCCTGCAGTGGCGACATGTCCCCGGCCGTCTCAATGTAGCTGACGAAGGCAGCCGTGGTCTGCACGCAGCTGAGCTCCACCCCGAATGCCGATGGTTGAACGGGCCGGCCTTCCTTTCTCAGCGCGAAGAATTCTGGCCGACGGAAGCCAAAACGAACAACGATACGCCAGATGTAGTTGACCCAGAGTGGACTGGAGCGGCCCACCAAGCTCCGCACGTTTCCCTCGACCCCGCTCATTTCTCCTCCTGGAACAAGCTGATACGTACCACAGGCTGGATCCTCCGATTTATCAGGAACTGTCAAAAACCACAGCAAGAGCGGCAGTTAGGATTGATCACCGTCGCAGAACACAACAAAGCCAGAGATATGTGGATAAAGAGAGCCCAAATCGAACAATTTTCTCTCGAACTTCGTGGGCTACAGACCAGAACACCTATCTCTCGACAAAGTCGAATCTTGACCTTGACGCCGTTCCTCGATGAGAATGGCTTACTCCGGGCTGGTGGCCAGCTGTCCAAAGCTCCAGTTCGATACTCTACGCGACATCCAATTATCCTCCCGCAGAAGCATGATGTCACAAGGCTTATCATAACCCACTTCCACAAAAGTCTTTACCACGAAGGTAATGAGCATGTCCGTAACGCCATTCGTCAGGAGTTTTGGAACTTGAATTGTCGCGCCAAAATACGAAAAATCGCCCACCACTGTCCTTACTGTCGTAGACGACGAGCCCGACCACATACTCCGAAGATGGCCGACCTTCCAAGCGTCAGATTGAAGGCACATCTACCACCATTTTCTCACGTCGGAGTGGACTACTTCGGGCCATTAACCGTTAAACGTATTCGCAAGACTGAGAAACGATATGGATGTCTGTTCACCTGTTTGGTCACTCGAGCCGTCCATATCGAGATCGCTTACACGCTCGACACTGATTCCTACATTATGGCGCTTCGCAGGATGATTTCAAGAAGAGGAAAGCCTCAACGAATCCTATCTGACAACGGTACCAACTTTGTCGGCGCCAACCGAGAGCTGCGTGAATGTCTCCAGAACTGGAATAAAGGTAAAATTCATGACGAGATGGTACAACAAGAGATTGAATGGCATTTCAACCCACCAGCCGCGCCTCATTTTGGTGGTGTTTGGGAACGCCTAGTCCGAGCTGTCGTTGGGAAACAGACCCTGACGGACGAGGTCCTACTCACCATTATGGCCGAAGTCGAAGCCTTGTTAAACAGCCGTCCTCTCACCCACGTCAGCACTCATCTCTCCGATGAAGAAGCCTTGACTCCAAACCATTTCCTCCTCGGTCGCCCTAGTCCGAATTTACCGCCCGATGTTTTCGTCAGCAAGGAAATATCTAGTCGACGTCGATGGCGACAAGCTCAAGTTGTGACCAATCACGTTTGGAAACAATGGTTGAAGGAGTATGTCCCCAATTTATTGCAAAAACGAAAGTGGACTACACAAGCCCGGAACCTGCAAAAGGGTGATCTCGTACTTGTCGTAGACCCCGATTCCCCCCGCGGAGTTTGGCCACTAGGTCGCGTGATCCGCCCGATTACTGGAGACTCGGGAATCGTCCGCGCTGTCGAGGTCAAAATGAAAAGAGGAACACTCGTGCGGCCTGTAGCAAAGATTGCCTTACTTGAAGAAGCAACTCAATCCTTGGAAAAGAGTGTTTCCGCCCGCATGATACGACCCTGTTTATATACGTTTAGTTTTATTAATCTTAGTTATAATACTCTTGAGCGACAAGCCCTAAGGGGTCGAACTCGAACTGTATTGTATTTGTCAACACTTGTCAACGCCGCATATTATATTATATAGCTTAGTTAAATGTTGTGAAATACGAGTAGGTTTTAAACCGAGAGACTCGAGACTTATAGTCAAGCATGCTGTCTGGTTTTTGGTGAAATAAATTTATGTATAAAATAAAACCCACGTCTCGCATTTGAATTTACAACGTTCGACGCATCGATCGAGATATAACAGTGCTATTGGACAACATTTTCACAACTGCGAACATGTGCAATACATTGTAAACCTACACTTTGTTTTTGACAAACTTAACAACCCAACTGACGCTGACAATAACGTTTCCACTTTTATTTCCAACTTAATATTTGACAACTCTCGAATTCTTCACACTATTTATTCTCGCACACCTAACTTACTCTTGTTGCTTGAAGCTCTATATATCAAGTATCATTCACCCAGTTAAACACTGGCCTCAAAGCCAGCAAAGAACTCAAGCTTTTTTCTTAATCGATACACCCACATTTCATCACAATAACATCTCACTGCAACTGTTGTGGTTCTGATTGAGACTTCCGTTAAGCTGTCATCATGCCTTGCCAACTTGTATATAAGACCATGTGTATATTGTAACTTTAGTTAGTCTGATGATGATTTTGTAATAAAATCGAAATATTACTCACTCACTTTCTTGTTTGACTCATATTTTGGGTTTCAAGATGCTTATCTTCGGATTATGTTTTGTATTATATTTTTTGAAATTGTCGGCTGGTATTGTTTTTTTATAACACTCCCTTCTTGCTTAGTTTAAAGCCGCGGCTGTGTGCGGAGAACGTCTAGCTGCTTAGTTCCATCGTCCGACCCACTTTTACTACATCGTCATGGCTGACGAAAATCCTCACCCTGTGGTGCAGTATCTTAACGAACAGCCTGAACCCGCTAACAAAGCTCCAGCACAAGCTCCAGTACAAGAACCTGTTCAACAAGAACAGCAAGCACCACCGCTTGAGCCACCCAAGCTGACAATCCAGCAGGCGAACTTGAGGTAAAAATATATACTAATATATCCTCGTTGTTGTTTATGAAATGTCGTCCTTTCTCATCATCAACCTTGACATAGCGATATGTATTTTCTACACTATACAGCCCCGACGATATTCTCAAGTTATATCCTGTCTATTTGTGTATGTGTCTATTTGAGAACTCACCACGTGTATATTTGGGTGAAAGTTCGCCTCAATTCTACAGTATACGATTGCCTGAGTGGACAAAAATCAACTCAAATATTTGGCTGAGAATTCAAGTCTAGTCTGAGCGAGAGTTTGCAGACAAGAAATAAAATATTTGGGTGAGAGTTCACCAAGTTTTATTGTATACAATTGTCTGAGCGAGAGTTCGCGGAGAAGAATAAAAATATTTGGGTGAGAGTTCACCAAGTTTTATTGTATACAATTGTCTGAGCGAGAGTTTGCGGACAAGAATCAAAATATTTGGGTGAGAGTTCACCAAGTTTATTGTATACAATTGTCTGAGCGAGAGTTCGCGGACGAGAATCAAAATATTTGGGTGAGAGTTCACCAAGTTTTATTCTATACAATTGTCTGAGCGAGAGTTCGCGGACAAGAATCAAAACATTTGGGTGATAATTCACCAAGTTTTCATTGTATACAATTGTCTGAGCGAGAGGTCGCGGATAATAATCAAAATATTTGGGGGAGAGTTCACCAAGTTTTATTGTACACAATTGTCTGAGTGAGAGTTAGTGGATAATAATCTAATTATTTGGCTGATAATAATTCACCACATTTTGTGTATATTTGTCTGAGCGACAGTTCGCTCACAAAAACATGAATATTTAAAGAGTTTACCAAGTTCTATTAAAAACGCATGAGACTATTTGTGTAACGAGCTCAACAAGTTTTATTGTACAGGATAGTCTGAGCGACCATTCGCAGATAAAAGTTAGAATACTTGAGGAGATCTATGCAATAAACATTACTCTTTACTTGTGACACTGAGATTTTCCTAACACTAATGGGAAACCTTGGTTCCAGACTATAGCACCTGCTATAGCTGGTATGTTTATTGCAGAATTTTGACTAATATTGTTTGTTGCCTGCTAGAATGTTTTGGCCCACAGTTAATCCACGCCCACGGTTACACATTTACATATCATATAACGCGCCTGCGGTTAAGATATCAGATCATACGATATGGTGTTTTTTCTGTGTGCCTGTCTTTGTCTGAGAGATTCAGTGTCATTCATAAATCACTCGTTTTCACTGGTCTAACAAAATATTGTGTTTCTTCATGCGGGCTCATTTTCACATGATATTTATTTCTCGTTATGTCTTAGAACCTTAAGGAAATATGTGCAGATTTGCAAAAATCTGTTGAGGAGATGTCTCGCCCATCCCTAGCTGGTGTTATAAAGAAAACTATGGACTATGCTATGCAACCCCCCGTTGCGTTCAACAAGTCTGAGGCACTTGATCACCTCGAGAATCTACAAAATACTGCTCGTGACGCCAAGGATGATTTCCCAGAATATTTCCGTTCTTTGGTCCTATGCCTGCTTGGTAACAAAACCACCAAAAGATATTTGAGGCTGTCGCCAAAGTCGAGAAATCGTTTTATAAAGCACCATCGCGTCTACAGACGTCCTTACATTCTTATTGACGAGATACATCAATGTTTGGCTCATATCGTGGTCGAGGCCGAGTGAGACCCTCATCGTCTGCTCTTACATGTCATTATTGTCACCAACCTGGTCATCAAGCCGTGAAATGCTTCCTTCGTATTTCACAGTCATCATCGTTGTCATCCACAGTGTCTCAACCGAAACAAAAAACACTTAAGAGAGCTTGTCTGTAAAAATCGCAATAATTCGCCATTTTCTGGCAGATATGAAAAACTGAAAGTTCTTCAATTTCCCTCGATTTTATATATATTGTAGACCTATCCAACCCCACACTTTTACTGAAGTTTCAGCCATGAAACACAAAATGAAGAAAAGTTAGAGTACTTCGAAAATCGAACCAAAAATGACGCAAAATGTGCAAGAAATGTCACTATATAAAGCAGTCAACATCATGTGCTGTGCTGAGCGCGCATTATAAGTTTTGGTCTGCTGTTACAATTTATGTTTTTAGAATATATGGAACTTTCTCCTGATATCTTTTCTCCATAAATCGAAATGTTATTGACTTGGTTATTTTAGATCAAAGATGGTGGAAATTTCCGGGTTCTCCAAACTAGCCAAAGTACGTCTTGGGAATCGCCTATTTAAACATAGTCCTACTTTCTATATAAATGTACATATGCATAATTTGTTAGGGCTAGGATGTAGTCATTCGACGACGATTTCAGATGTTTGGGATTCTTTTTTGTGTCTTGGCGAAATTTGATCTTAAACATGTACAATATTAGCGTAATTGAGTGCTTGGATTCTATTAACCGGCGCGTTACGATTCCAATATCTTACGCTTGTTCTATTCAAAAAGTTAACATGCTTCACTGTAAATGACACTGATAACACACAGTTTACTTCTTAATGATTTTCTTTGCATTCAAGTTACTTTGTCTACACTATATGTGTATATACATACTACGCACGCACGACCAAGAACATTTTAACTTTTTTCAAACGTAAAAAACATAGCCGCAGCCCCAAGCATGGCTTTAAATTGCGGTGCCCGTCCAAGTTTGACACCGGCTTTATATTCTGCCTGTGAGTTTGTGGTTTATGCGGAATCACAAGCATATTTTCTTCATGTAATCTCTAAGGTAATAATTATATTTATCGCTGCTGACGCTGCATATTTATTGTTTACATTTTCTGTCGATACATTCATGTACGACTTGCAGTTTATTACACATATTTTGAAATAACTTTTCTTACGTATCGATTCCGACAAACTCGACAACATAACAAATTTCCAATTTTCCGACGGGTCTCAACAATGGGAGGGGGGGGGGTCTGCCAATAGGGGGAGGGGGGCTTGAAATCCGGCTTCAGGACAAAACTGTTGTCAATATGCAACTATTTATTCTGTCATGCACTTTAGTGTCGAAGGTTTTGAATTTGTTTTCGGTTTGTCCCTAGAAGACACTAGGGCACCGCATTATAGAACTGTGTCTGGTCCGCGCATTGTTATATAGTTTGTAAACAACAGTAGCACGTGCAGTCTCGCGACTGCCTATTTTTATGTCTGTACTCTGTACTAAATGATTCAGTTCAGTTAAGATGAGCTGTCCCTTACTGTCGACAAAATATGAACTTAGTTCAAATCTGATGGTAGAGCAGAAACAATTCTTTCCATTACTATTTTTGTCGGTGGAAGTTACATTACATTTGGTGATTTGAAAACACTTACACCAAGGTTAAAATTTCCGTGTAATTTAATTAAATTAAAAATTCGAGATAAAACTAAGGAAATACAAAAATACAATGGACTTAATACATTTATGCTTCAAGAACTGTAACAAACCAATGTAACATAATCAGAGAGTTTCAGTTGCAATATTAAACTACAGTGGACAATTGTCTCGCTGCGTGCGTTTATTTACAACTTTGTTGAGAAAGTTACTTCCGGGTTTATAACAGCGTAGGTTACAAATGTCACAAATCAATTATTATTTTATCTTGTAGTAAACAGTCTTGGAACTACTTTTTCTTTACGTACTAGACCACGACATAATTTGTCGCAGGCACTCTAGAGAAGATCACGCTTACCATCTTGTATTCTTTTTCAGCTGATTTTCCATTCAACGACAACGTTTTTATTTATATTTGTATAGTATTTGCATATCTGCATGATTGTGTTTTTTCATGATGTAAATTTGAGTTAATTTAAAAATGCATGACCGATATTTGAGAAAGTGAAGCGTGTGTTCTCAGTGACGACTACAGTAAACACAGAATCGTTTTGAAATAAAATTTAAGAAATAATATTCACAGTGTCACGTTCCAGTTAATACGAACCACTCAATGGGCAATGGACCATTTGCATGATAGACTAAATTTTGATCTAGACAAAAATTTCACCACAGCTTGAAAGAGCATCACGAAATTAGTAATATTCCAACGTTTCGTTGCAAAATGTTGTAAAATGCGGATAATATAGCCATGGGAAGTTTGCCGTTTTTCAGTCATTTTGTATTACGCACAGGAAGTTGACAGTCCAAATCGGGTGTTGGGCATCAATTTCCCGTTTTGTAATCTAAAATGACTGAAAATTGCAAACTTCGCAAAGCTATATTATCCGCAATTTACAACATTTCGCAACGAAACTTTGGATAATATTACTAATTTTGTGATGCTCTTTCAAGCTGTGATGAATTTCTTTTCTAGATCAAAATTTAGTCTATAATGCAAATGATCCATTCCAGCTATAATAGATCATGTAGACTAAATTTTGATCTAGGCAAGAAGAACAAAATCCATCTAGAAAGAGCATGTTAAAATTAGTAAAATTGCAAAGTTTGGCCACGAAATGTTGTAAAATGAGGGAAATAATAGCCCTACGAAATTTTCAAATTTTGTATACCACATTTGGGCCGAAAGTGGTGCAAATTCCCGTGCGTACTGACAAATTAATACAAAATTTGCAAATTTCGCAGGGCTATATTTTCGCTCATTTTACAACATTTTGCAACGAAACTTTGTAATTTTACTAATTTTAACATGCTCTTTCTAGCTGTGCTGATGGATTTTGTTTTTCTTGCCCAAATCAAAATTTAGTCTATAGCTGGAATTGCCCATGACGCTAATATTGTACATGTTTAACTGCAAATTTCGCCAAGACACAAAAGAATCCCAAACATTTGAAACCGTCGTCGAATGACTAAATCCTAGCCCTAACAAATTATGCATATGTACATTTATAAAGAAAGTAGGACCATATTTAAATGGGTGATTCACAAGACGTACTTTGGCTAGTTTGGAAAACCCGGAAATTTCAACCATCTTTGATCTAAAATAACCAAGTCAATAAGTTTCGATTTATGGAGAAAAGATATCACGAGAAAGTTCCATATATTCTAAAGACATATATTGCAACACCGCAGAGCAAAAACCTATAATGTGCGCTCAGCACAGCACATGATGTTGGCTGCTTTATATAACGAAATTTCTTGGACATTTCACGTCATTTTTGGTTCGATTTTTGAAGTGCTCTAACTTTTCTTCACTTTTTTTTTCATGGCTGAAACTTCAGTAAATGTATGGGGTTGGGTAGGTCTACAATATATATAAAATCGAGGGAAATTGAAGAACTTTCAGTTTTTCATATCTGCCACACATTTTGGGATTCTTACAGGCAAGCTCTCTTAATAACTGAGAACTATATAATAATCTAGTTTGACTTATCAATTGTATTTTTGCAATACCTAAATGTGCTTTGGGTTTGATCAATATTCATGTTGACAAACCATGGACTGTACACTTTAGTACCGTACTCATTTCTAGTGTGTCAGCTGTGCATGTATACTATTATTCAATACCTCATTTTCACCTTTTTCCCTACAAAAAAAAAGATATGAAATATTAAATATGTATAAAAAACCCAAAAAAAACACAAAACAAACTCAACAACGAACAAACAAAAAAAAACAAAAAAAAAAACTAAACCTTATTGTGTTATATTGTATGCTTATGGCCAGAGAATTGCTTAACTTCTAGCCCACTATTATTATATAAATTTAATCATATATTACCTATATTCCTACAGCCTCTATCATTTGAGTCGGAGAGGATGGACAAGTTTGAAAATGGGGTATCTAAATCAACCCTCCCGGTCTTACTGGGTCAGATTTGACCTCCTTCTGCTGACTGAGCATTTTGCCATTCCGTTCCCATTTCCATCATAATATATCGGTTTTCTGATTTTTTAGTCGGACACATTCTGGAATTGGGAAAAATCTTCCGCTTTTGACCTTGAGGTGTCTGAGACCATTAAGAACACGAGTGAACACTGGGTTAACGTGGATGGCGAACCTGTGTCCGTCGGTGGAGGGAGGACACCCAATGACCACCTTAGTGCCACGATGCAACGTATGGTGCACGGAGAGGCCCTTAGTGATGTGTCACAACTGATCTTTCGCGACCCTGCCCAATTTCGGGCCGGGGAACTCCACTCTCATGTCTCAGCATGGGAAGACCTGCTGAACGGCACAACCCCCTCTCCACAACAGCAACAGGTCCTAGGTTGGATAAAAGAAGGTGTATCAGTTCATCATTATTTTCAGCATTTTCAAGGCCGTTTTAAGGGTGAAGAGTATGATTCTGCCTTGCCACCATCACATATTTTCAAAAATAATAGCTTTTGTAAACCCTTTGTCTCTGTGATTCAACGTACACTCATTGAACGCATCACAACGGGCGCTATCTCTCTCTTCGGACAGGTCGGGAAAGTGCAACCACCGCACCTGGTTCTACCCCTGACAATGGAACCTACCAAGCCCTGTTTATGCCAGGACGCACGGTTTTTAAATTTATGGATGCAAGATAAGCCTTTTGTCCTGGATAAATTAATCGATTTACCACGTTATGTTTCCCATGATTCATATCAGACCGTGATTGATGACAAATCCAGATACGACCACCTTCTCATGACCTCTGATAGCTGCACCTATTTCGGATTCCAGTGGGGTGGTTGGTATTTCGCATACCGCACCCTTCCATTCGGTTGGAAAATTTTCCCCTACGTATACCAGTTCATGGGCTTGATGGCCACAAACTATTTCCATTCCATTGGCATCCCTTGCCTCCTTTATATTGATGACCGCCATAATGGCCAACTCCAGGTTGATTTTACTAAAGGAGTGCAGAAGCTTGTGGATCATCGTAATTACGCGGCGGCCGTCTTTCTAGTCGCTTATACCCTGATACGTCTCGAATACTTCCTAGGTCTAAAAAAGTCTATCTTAACACCGAAAAAGAATGTACCCTATCTTGGGTTCCATGCTGACTCGGCCAATGAGGTATTTCATCTTATCCCTGAGAAGCAGCGGAAGTTCGTCGATTTAATACGTGCAACCCTACAGGAGAACTATGTCTCTGTTAAAACTCTCCAGCGGCTTGTCGGAAAATGCGTCTCCTTTTCACTCGCTGTTCCTGCAGCGCGATTATTCACCCGCGAGATGAATTCAGCTATTTCGCGTGGGATATCAACACAAAAACTTGTTCCACTCACCTCTCAACTCCGTGATGAGATTGCTCATTGGCTCTTCCTGGAAACGTGGGATAGCCCTCTCCCTTGGAGAGATGAACGGCACGTACAAGTAAAGCTGGCCACTGATGCATCTCAATCGGGTTGGGGTGGTACTCTTCTTTCCTCCCAGCCACAGGAGACATCTGACTATTGGATGGGAAATGAGATTTCATGGGACATTGCGACAAAGGAGGCAACGGCTATTGATCGCGCATTTTCTCCTCGTGTTATTAATTCATGTGTCGAAGTGCTAGTAGATAACTAAGCCGTTATCCATGCCTGGAATAACCAGGGAGGTCACTGTAGCCCCTTGAATAATGTGTTGAAGACCTTGTTTAATACCACCACTGAATTGAATGTCTTACTCCACCTCTCCTATGTCCCCACAAAGGACAATCCAGCGGCCACACCTTCACAGAGATTATCTGTAATCGATTCCAAGCTTACACCAGGTATATGGCAAAAGGTCCAACAAGAGTGTGGTGGTGACACTGGTCACTCCTGTGATTTGATGGCTCTGGACTTCAACACCATGACAGACCTTGCTGGATCACCACTTCCCCATTTCAGCCCCTCTCCTTCGCCAGGTGCCCTGGCTGCAAATTTGTTTGCTCAAAACTCGCTTCCTATCCGTCAGTTATGGACCGACCTTATGTTTTTCCTCCCCTGATACTTGTTGGACCCCTCCTCAAATTCCTTTGTGCCCAACAACAATCATGTACGGTGGTTGTCCTTGATAACTACCCCCGCAAGTATTGGTGGCCCCTGTTGCAGTCCTATTCCTCCAGGTCTTTCCTCTTAGTGCCTCGAGGTCATGGTCAAGCCTTATTGGTCCCCACTCAAAGGGGATGGAGCACCATGGCGCATCTACCAGCTGATTTGTGGGTCTTCATGATTGAATTCCCTTAATGAGAACCATTATTTACATTGACTCACATATATTCTGTATTATTAAATTATATTGTGTACCATATACATAGACAATACATTACTTTTGATGCCAACTCAGGAATAATATCCTTGTGCATTGCCTGTTGGATTAGTTTTATAAAAATAAAGCAATCTAAGCACATATAGACTTACAGGCATTTGACTGCATTATATGGGTATTTTCTGTTAACAGGCTCTCCCACTCATCGCCAAATTAATTCAGCCCTTCAGTTCGTTGTCCCTCATGCAGTTATGCAAATGACCATGACTTTCAATTTTGCCAACAGTGTTGCTACCGTCGAAAGGTCATTACCCGAACCCCGTCTCATTGCATTGAGTGTGATTTGGAATACATTGACGCTCGTCTAAACCACCTGTTGACAGTCGACAGCAACACCAACTATTCCAAATAGAAGGAGTCGTTAAAGAATGAGTTAGAGATATTTTTTACTCTGCTCCCTACCTGCACCACCTTGGAGACTGTTACACCTCGGGATCTGTGCCGCTTTCTTATATACAAGGATTGACATAGAAAAACCCAAGTCCATCAACAAGGTTGTCCCCATCTTGGCGAAAAAGGCCACCATAATTGCGGATGTCCGATGCAAATGTCCTACAAGACAGTCGATTCTTATATTGGGAAATTGCGGTCCATCTTTCACGTGCTAGGTCGTGATGGTGAATGGGATAAACACCTCGGCTTGGGAAACCCCTGCGCTGACAAATCCATGAAAGACTACTTACGGGTAATCACTGCTGAACAGCTCCAAGCCAGGATCACACCAATACAGGCCTCCCCTTTCTTTGTGGATAAGCTTACCCAATTATCCCTACACCTTGAAAGAAACTTAAATGAGTCAAAGAAGTCTCTAAACAAGTTTATTCTTGCCCATGACCAGGCCTGTTTTAAGATGGCTTTCTTTAGCGGCGACCGTCCAGGTGACTTAGGCCAAATCAGGGTCCCTGAAATTCTGAGATTCCCCAACGATGATGGATTCCTCTTCAATCATGTATGGGGAAAAACTCTCAGGGACAGTGATACGAATGTCTTTGGTATTCGACGGAACCCAACTACCATTTGTCCTATTAGGGGTGTTGAACTGTACATGGACGCAGCACGCCAGCTCGGTATTGACCTCACTTGTGGTTATTTATTCAGACGACTACACCTAAGGGTGGCGTTCAAGATTCCCTCTTCATCTCTTCTACCGCAGAAGCACGCTTAAAACAATACTTATGTGAAATGAATGCCGATGAAGGTGAAACACTCCATGGTTTCAGCTGCGCCATCACCTTGGCTCTTTCTGGTGCGGATCTCTCAGAGATCATGGATCATGTTGGCTGGTCTAGACGCCACACTGCATTATACTATATGCAGTTAGCGGAAGTACTGAATCCTGTCGGAGCCTCTGCCAAGTTAGCATCCAATATTGCTGTGGACTCATCTCATGCGTTGCAGGATCTCAATGAGTTGAAACAGTTTGTTTGTGCTTTTCCACAGGAACAACCTCATAAACGACCTTGTTCCGATAGTTGATTCTATTCAATTCATTGTATAGTGTATGTGCATGATAGAATCCTGGGGTGGGAGTTTTTCTCACATAGGTTTGGCTGTATTGAGGTTTGGGGTCAAGTAAGGCCTAGTTAATGTTGGTTTAAGTAGGGGGTGGGGGCTAGTTTCAGAAATAGCCATAGGCAAATGTTGATCCACATTTACTCCTGTTCCTTATTCTAGCTGAGCAAGAAGGTTACTATTCATAACACTCTTAATGATATGCAAAGATATAATATGGAACAATAAGCAAGCTAGGATCAATAAATAGTAATGAATGGCTCGATCACGTGTGGAATAGGTATAAAATGCAGTTTCTGGCGAGATAACACTCTCCCACTGCTACACTTGCGTGGGTCGGACTCCGTCACACCGCATCCCAGTCACGCTGTTCCAGCCTGTCTGGGACCATGCTGACTACATTTACTCCTGTTCCTTATTCTAGCTGAGCAAGAAGTAGAGTGTTATGAAATAGGTTACTATACTATACTATACTATACTATACTATACTATACTATACTATACTATACTATACTATAATACATTTTTTCTTTTATTTTTTTTTAAAAAACATGATATTAGTAGATATAGCAAATAAAGTTCAATAATAGACAAAGTCCTTAGATCTTGTGGACTTTGATACATGTCCTGATCTCGTTCTTATTACAGTATCTTTTGCAGAATTATCTGTTTCTACCACATTGTTAGATTTAGGTTTAACTTCTTTATTATCTAACATGTCATGGAATATTAATGCCTGTTCTGCAATCGAAGCACGGAGTCAGAAACTTTACATTTCTAACATATGTTTTCCCACCTACTGTATTAACTACCTTGCAATTATCTCTTCCTAGAAAGTCTATAATCACATACTTAGTATTGTCAAATTTAGACTTGCGCTTACTATTACTATCAGACTTACTCCTGGCAAGATACACAATATCATCAACCACAAACGAGTGTGCTTTTGCATGTTGTTTACGATCATGATAAGACTTCATTCGCTTTTGATACAATCTTGCATCTCCCTCCACATTGTTTGAGCTCACATCACCATTCAGCTTAATTCATGGAAGCTCTGTATGTATCTCCCTATAAAAAAGGAAACTTGCTGTAGTTTTTCCTGTCATGGGATGAGGAATGCTCCTGTACCACATCAAAGTTTTAGGGAGTTCCTCTTCCCAGAATCTACCCTCAAGAGTAACAGCTTGAAAATTCTTTTTCAAATATCTGTGAAACCGTTCGATTTTTCTGTTACTTCTTGGGAAATAGGGCAAACTACGTACATGCTTAATTCCTTTAGAGTTCAAGAAACACCTGACTAATAAATTGTGGTCTGTTATCAGAGACAATTTCCTCAGGATAACCATGCCTAGCAAATATATTCATCAAAATTTTAACAATTGGCAATGGCCACTTCAGGAAAGGAAGAGTAATAGTCAATATAGGTTACCAAGTACTTATCTATTGGACCTAGGATATCAACTGCACCTTTTAACCACAGCGCTTTGGGTAACTGCACTTGCTGGAAGGGTTATTATTATTTAACAGTCTACTTGCAGCGCATGCTGGGCAGTCTTTAATTGTAGACTCTATCCCTATCCATACATATCCAAAAAATTTTGACCTTAGCAACTGCTTGGTTCACACTATATCCACATGACTTTCCTGAGCAAGCTTCAAAATCTGCTTCTTAAGAGAAGTTGAAACGCCAATACGATTTCTGTGTAGTAAAACACCTTCGCAAACAGAAAACTCTTCCCGAAACTTTGCAAAAGGTTTAATATCAGCATCAGCTGGCCATGCACCCATGCCATGTAAACCAAATTTATAATTTTAGTCAAAATTTTATCTTTTGCCATTTCCTCTTTCACCTCTGATAACGACAACACACAATAATTGTCAGGCATATCATTTTCAACCACAAATTTAATATACTCATCTGCAACGTTACTCGAACTAGTTTCATCTATTTCATTTAAAGGCAACCTTGAGAAAGAGTCGGCAATATTAATTTTACCTTCAATATGTTTTATCTTATACTTATATTGATGCAACCTCCACGCCAAACGTTGAATCCGTGGGGGCAAAATCTTTTTACAATCTGATGAAAGCAACCTGACTAATGGTTTGTTGTTAGTGAGCAACGTAAATTCAGTACGAAAAACATAATTATGAAATCTTTCAGCCGCACAAACACATGCCAGTGCCTTGTGTTCAATCTGCAAATATTGCGCTTCAGTAGGTGTCAGAGATTGGCTTATATATGCAACAGACTCACCTGTTGTTTGTTTCTGTAACAGAACCCCACCTAGCCCTACTGGACTTGCATCTGTTACAAGAACAGTGGGACCATCTAACATAAAACAAGCCAACACTGGTTCGTTGGAAAGTGCACGTTTCAAGTCCACAAACGACTCTACTTGCTCATAACCCCATGTCCAGTTATTGCCTTGTCAGCCGCCTAAAGGGTTCAACCATCTCGGCGTAATTCAGTATAAACTTCGATACATAGCCACAAACAGCTAAAATGATCTCAATTCTGCAACATTAGCAGGAGGAATTGCTTTAGTTTTTACTGGGTCTGGTTGAACACCTCTGGCTGACATGACATGACCCAACACCGGTATTTGGGTAACTTACTCACACTTCTTAGGGTTTAAGAGCGACTGTCCGTAAAAATCGAGCAAAATTTGAATTCTGCGGCAATACACGAAAAATAGATTTCGTTCATATTTTGCTCAAATTAAGGTAATACCTAGTTATAAATGGTGTTTGGGTTAGATTTTCAATATTTGGTCGATAAACGTGCAAATATCAGAAATCAAGAATTTGTCTCCAGGAGGCTATAATTAGCCGCAGACAAAGCCGCTGCCATGGTCAGTTTCATCACTTCGCAACGGATTCAAAACTGCCCGTAGATAGTTTTGATGGTATAATGACTATAATTCAAGTATTAAGGAACAATTTTATCAATATGGAATGGCCCAGGAGGCTTTAACTGGCCCGACAGACGTTGTTGAAATTGGCTATTTTTAGTCAAATTTGAGAATTGCATTTTGTGGCTGGATTTGAAAGGTAAATTTACTATGTGCGATAATCGTAAATTTTTTTATATTTCGTCCAAGAAATGCTATAGCATGGATACATGTTGTATATAAAAACTGGCTTGGGTTATTGCCGTGGGGCCTCACGCGAGACTTTAAAAAAGCTTATTTTGCGGTAGTTCAGGCGACAGTCAGGTAGTCTGTTTCAGACCATGTTACGAAATGAAAGACTATAAAATAATATAAAAACAAGTTGACAAAGATGAGTTTAGTTCTTAGATTATTTACAAAGCAAATCTATATACCTATGAATATATAAATAATTTTAAAATGTTTGTTAGTGGAATCTGGGAAATAAAATCAATGCCAATGTTGAGCGCTTTATATAATGAAAAACTATAGCTGTCAACTGAATAACAACTGTATAAAATTTATAGCTGCCTCACTGCTCGTATATATATATATATATAAAATAGAATATGACTGTCTATAAACAACAAGCAGTGTTATTTTTAAGTTTACGTTTTTATATTGATGGGGGCCGGGGGGAGGGGATTAAGTAAAAACAAAAAAGTAAACTACAATATTAAAACAGTAGCTAAAGCAGATCCTTTGTAAATGATGTCCTACACTGCGTGGAAATGAACGTAATCTTGATTGATTGATTCTTTAATTTTCTGTAGAGGTTTTGTTTTGCTCAAAAATACAGCTTCAATGATGAAGAATGACTGTAACAGTTTATTCATATTCAATTTATCTCGCTTTTTTAAAATATTTTGACGTTGTGACGTCACCGTGAGATCGTGTCAAGAAAGTCTGATATCTTTGATGATAACTTAATAAAATTTAGTCAAACTTGGCATGTTTACACTGTAATGGGTGCACCTGCAAGTGAACAGTTCGGATTATTTATGTTTAATTAGTCCCCACTCTTTACTTGTTTAGCTTCTCTTCTTTTTTACAAATTCCTCCTGTAGACTTTAGTTTACTCGTTTCAATGGTTTACACAGGGCTGTAAATACTCGTTACAATTGTAAAGCGTTACTGTGTACTCGTTACATTTGAAGTAATTTTAACCTCTAATTAATTACGTTTTTAGAAATGTAACGAAAAACATAATTAATTACAAAAGCAAGGAAAGTGTTCCTTTTCCAAGGAGCAAGTTGAAAATTCCTTTTCTTATTTTTCTTAAAAGTGAGAAATAAACTACAACGTTACGACAAAAATTCAGAAAAATGGCTGAAATAATTTTCAACGAGATCACTGCACATGACATGATAGCCTACATGAAGTACTATTTAATTTATTGCAAAAGTGGAACCACAATTTGTTCCGAGGCTCAGAGTGCCAAATATTGGCAAATAAAGTTTTAAGAGTTTACATGCTTCGATTTGCATGTAAAATTTTTAATATATTGAAATATCATCTTGATAAATACTTGCAAATTTCACAACCACTGTTTAAGATATTATAATATATATAGTAACAATTTGCCGGTAAAGGAATTTGTAATTAATTCCTTTTTTCCGCAGTAATTTTTTCATTGTACTTAATTACATTTTAGAACAAGTAATTGTAATCAGGAATTTATTACATTTTAAAGCAAGTAATTGTAATTCGAATTAATTCCTTTTTCAGTGGTAATCTTGCAGCCCTGGGTTTACAAATATCACAACACCTATGAATACTATCGTAATAAGCGGAAATTGCAGAAATTGGTTTTTATTTCGCTGGAAATGGTGGAAACGAACACCGCGGGGAAACATCTGCTCAAGCCAAATTGTAAACTTTTAAAAACATTGCTATGTAATTATTTAAGGTAATTGAAACAAACAAAAAATACATTAGACGGGTAGTTTAGATATTAATAAAAAGTTTTCTAACATTACAGTAAAAATCTAAAAAGAAACAGAATTTAAATTAAAAATTACCGTTTAAATTAAGACCAGGCAGCGTGTAACATTTCTTGAAGAATTGTCGAATACCGAACTTATGAACCTACGAAAAATATCTTTGTATGGTTCAATTAAAGAACGTTTTATACAATAAATTTATCGACAGTCACTTTTGGTTTATTTTCTTGCATAAACTACATCTTGCATATGTATAGACTATAATTATTTCTACTTTTTATGTTGTCACGTTCATTATTCCGCTTGCATTTTCGGGCAAAACATCGAAGTCGCTCCTTGTCGCTTCCATTTTGAGTTTTTGACAGTTTTTATTTTGCTCATGTACATGTATCTTTTTCTTATTTGTAGCATATGTAGAAGAAGGTCACCTGTGGGTGCACACAAACTGCGAGGCAATGGCAAGCCCGCGAGGCATACGAGGCATGCGACTGATGCCAGGAAGACTGCAAGGCATGTGAGGCAATCAGGCGAGTCCTGACGGGCCTTTTTTTCTACTGCCCTTGGGCCATTGGTTTCCCTTGGTTTGAATGCATTTCCAAATTACCCAGAAATTCGTTTATAAAACCTTATCCAGTTTGTATGAACGTAGTTTTTCAATTGACAGATGAACAATGCAAAATAGTTAATATTCCATAATTTTTAGTGAAGCTTGTCACTTGTTGAGCTATTGTCTAGGTTAATGTTTACTTTTTGACGTTTTGATTGGAGTGCTGTAGTTATTTAAAATGTATAGACAGAATTGTTATTAAAACTAGAATGTCGTTCACATTTGTCTGTTTGTCCAGCGTCAAGTTAAGTATTTCAATATGTTAAATATCGTCAAATTTTGGAGTCAGTCATTGTGTCTGCCTCCCACTGGCACATCTGCCTGACTCACACTTTTTTTCATGCCTGGCACTTCTACCTCGCATGCTTCGCACTTTTTTTCATGCCTCGCATTGTGCTTCGCAACGTGCCTCGCATCGTGCCTCGCACTATAGTAAAACTTGTCACCTGTTTGTTAGTTTCGTAACAGGAGAGTCCAGAAAAATGTCTAGCGTAAAGTGTAAACATATACATGTTCCAACTTATGCACTTTTATTGTATTTACCTAGCTTTAATTCTATTAGTTTACATATGCAGAGAAAGCATTAAACAAAAATGAGAAATTATAAGACTTCAAAAGCTTACAGACTGCAGACATATTAAATATACATTCAGTAACAACACGCGAATTGCTATAAATAGCAACGTTACAGTCTAGTAATGATATGATGATTTGTTGTGCTTTTGTTGTAAGTAGGCCTATCACTAAAATATATTGAAAATCCTTCTAAACGATTCTTTATAAAGTATACAAAGTATATACATTGATATCGAAACAAAAAATTCAAAGTTTTGAACAATTTTAGCTTTGTGACTCTGGTATAGACGTATGGGCCTAATGATTTAATTGTGTTACATTCCACTGGAAATCACCAAAATGAGCTTTTTTAAAAGTCTCGCGTGAGGCTCCAAGGCAATAACCCAAGCTAGTTTTTTTATATAACATGTACTCATGCTATACCATACCGTGGATGAAATATAAACAAATTCACAATTATCGCACATAGTAAATTTCCCCTTCAAATCCAGTGACAAAATGCAATTGTAAAATTTGACTAAAAATAGCCAATTTCAACAACGTCTGTCAGGCCAGTTAAAGCCTCCTGGGCCATTCTATATTGATAAAATTGTTCTTTAATACTTGAATTATAGTCACTAAACCATCTACGGGCTGTTTTGAATCTGTCACGAAGTGATGAAATTGACTATGGCAACGGCTTTGTTTGCGGCTAATTATAGCCTTCCGGAGACAAATTCTTGATTTCTGATATTTGTACGTTTATCGACGAAATATTGAATATCTAACCCAAACACCATTTATAACTAGGTATTACCTAAATTTGAGCAAAATATGAAAGAAATCTATTTTTCATCTATTGCCACTGTTTGCTCGATTTTTACGGACAGTCGCTCTTAACTTTAAGTTACGTAAAATCCGCTTCTTGCATCAATTTTTGCAAAATATTTTGAACCACTTAGGGCATCCAAAGTGTCTTCTACTTTTGGAAGGACATATCATTCCATTACAATGGCTTTATTTAACTCTCTAAAATCACAGCAAACCCTTAAGCCTCCTGCTGCCTTAGGCACCACTACAACATTAGAAACCCAAGGGCTTGGTTCGGGTACCACTTCAATGACGTCATCCTTCAACATTTTATCAATTTCATCATTAACCTGCTCTACTTGACTAAGGAGAATTCTTCGCTGATGTTGGCTTACTGGTTTAACATTTGGATCTAGTTTAATTTTATGCAAATAATTTGTAATTTGACCTAACCCGTGAAACAAGTCATTATATTCATTAACTAATTAGTTCAGTCTTGGGTCATTAA